TATATAGTATAAAGTCAACCACAGCCCGACAAAGCCGAAAAAACACACCATAATCTACAAATAATTACAATATTATGTTAATTTCGTAGTGTTGTATAAAATCACGTGTATTTTTTTTTTTGCCACTGTCTGATAGATATTATAATGTACGTTTATACGGATTGTAAATGAAACACACAATTTTTTCGTTGGGCCCATATAATTTTTTCATGACCTTGAAGGTTGTACGTCATCGTGTGAGAGTCATAAACTTTTAGTAATTCATCAGGAATACATAATAATAAGCAGTTGTCCACACCGATAATAATTTGAATTTATTAATACTTTTTGAAATATGATTTACCAAAATTATATTATATACACACAAATGAATCGGAGTCATAATCAAAATGCAAAGTATATGTTTTTGTTAATGCCTAATTAAACTCTAAATTACAGGTACCCCCCCCCCCCCACTAATAATACAGTTACAATATAATAATTAGACGTTTATCCAGTATCGACGAATTTCCTTCGGATGTCGGGTGTGGGATTTTTATCAGAGGTGCAAAGTATTACAGCCAGTGCACTTTCCAGAGTACATAATCGTTTAGCTTAATAAAAAGACATGATTAATGGTGTTTTATCTACCGTAGACTGACGTTAGGTCCCTTGTCGCCGTGCATCCTCCACTAGAGCGTTTAAGTCGAAAACATTGGCTTTTAACCTATACACAATGCAATAAATCGTTACACAACACGCGCGTCTTATATGTTGTCCATTCTACTGAAGCGTACGATGGAAAATAAAACATGCTACTATAAACAGAGACAATATCTCTAATATAATATATGCATCTCATGTGATATGGAATTTTCTCGTTATTTTCTTTTTTGAAAAAGTAATATCCAACGACATTTCATAACTATAATTGACGTTACGATTGTCACATTTACATTTATAAATTTGTATACAGTATGTCCCAAAAGTCCCGTATCACCCTTAATATCTCCATGTAAAATCACTATATTTAAACGCGGTTTTTTTTACAGTACTAAGTATGAAAATTCTGATTGAATGGAATAAAATTCATTTATTTTTTTCTTTGAATTCAAAAATTTTCAAAAAAATTTTTTACGCATTTAAGAATTTAAAAATTTTAATATAGCCATTTTGTTGAGCATATTTTTTAAAACAGTTCAAAAAAAAAATACTAAAATTAAATAAAAATTGACCAAGTTAGAGCAAGTTATGTTTTTGAATAATTGTAGTAAAAAAATAAATTATTGTTTCACATTTCAATAATGAAATATCTAATTTCAGCACACGACCATACTTTTACATTCCTAATTTATTTTTTTACTACAATTATTCAAAAACATAACTTGCTCTAACTTGGTCAATTTTTATTTAATTTTAGTATTTTTTTTTTTTTGAACTGTTTTAAAAAATATGCTCAACAAAATGGCTATCTTAAAAATTTTAAATTCTTAAATGCGTAAACATTTTTTTTGAAAATTTTTGAATTTAAAGAAAAAATAAATGAATTTTATGCCATTCAATCAGAATTTTCATACTTAGTACTGTAAAAAAAACCGCGTTTAAATATAGTGATTTTACATGGAGATATTAAGGGTGATACGGGACTTTTGGGACACACTGTATAATAGAGAAATAGGAGCACACTCGATCAAAATCGAAAAATTTTACGTGATTATTTTTATGGAACTTTTAAAATATCATTAAAAAAATGTAATTTATGTCATTATTATAATACAGTGCAAATATTCCATTTAACAAAATGTTCTGTTTAATGAAATATTTTTGAGAATCAAATCAAATTTATTTAATTCTATTATGTAATAGAATAATATTCTTTTATACGAATTTTTTGTTGCCCATGAGACTATGATATGCGTGTTATTTAATATTTCGTGAACTGCAACTTAATGTAGAATAATAATGTATTGACAATTGTTGTAAATAAAATATTTAATATAACTGTTGACATTATAATATTATACATAATAATATGATATGACCATATTATTATGAACGCATAGTTAATAATTTCATACAAATTTATAAATACTACCTGCCGCGAGCTTATGAAAAAGTTCAAATAAAAATTTATATAAGACTTTAAGCAGTTACAGAGAGAAGTTTTTTTCAAAATTAGATTTTCGATCAGATATTTAACTAGGGTTATAAATAATATGCTAAAACTTTCTCCAAGTAATATACTACCTATATCATATTATTATCTATTTCCTAATCTCCAGCCCTCGTCGAGTCTATCAATAGCCAACAAAAAATATATATAAATATTCGTTTACAATTTCGTTTTTAAATAAAGTTATAGGGATAAATTATTATTTTTTATTACAAAACATTGATTGCACTTTTTAATAATAAAAAATATGATTTATGACCAACATATTGTATTTAATTCCCCAAACACTTTCTCCCTAGTGCATAGGAAAACAAAGCGAAATGTTTGACTTTAGTTGCGTTTTTGTGGATTACGCGAAAAAAACAATGGGCAATGATAATATGACAGAGGGATTGCCGTCGGACGATAAAAAAATGTTTGTTGTGGAAAATGTGGTGAAAAGAAGGTAAACAATAGTGTTGTTAGAGACAAAACCAAAAGATCATTTGCATGACAATGATGATAAAAAAGTGTTTTTTTTATCATGACGTTTCAAATGGTCATGTGTATTTAATTAAGTACTGCGGGCTTATTAAAAAAATTTTAGAACAAGCGAATTACACGCTTATAAATTATATTAATATGATTTTACCTTGTTTTGTTTAAAAAAAAATATACACAACTACAACTAGTGAGTATGATATTTTACATCTACAAGTATTATTTTTATATTTAAACCTCTCTAACATTGGAAATTAATTTTAAGTTGAAAATCTTAGTTACAAGTATACAACTTTCAACTTATGTTTAATATATCTGCCCGTTCATGGTTTCAAAAATCATAGTAAATATACAACTAATAATTTAATAAACAGAGTGATTCACCAAGCATATGTTTAAACCCGTTTTTTTCTTCTTTAATGTTATTCAAAATCTGATTTTTTTAATTTGAAAGTATATAAGTTATTAAAATATATAGTTTTAATTAAACGAGTAAGAATGCGTTTAAATCAATAAAAATCTAAAATAACCCTGTAAACATTGATGATTCAATACAATTTTAAATCGGTAGTCCACTTTTGTCCACAAACATTTTTGCTTTGTTCGTGTCTTTCTTTTTGTTATAATTATCTTACATTTCAATAAACATTGAATACAATCTATATTGTGCTACATATTTTGTTTCTGAAATTCTTTAATTAGAATTTTTATTATGAGTAGTTGTTCATTGCTTTTCATAATATTTATATTAATTTAACATTATAATAATATTCATAAATTATATTTAAAAAATAATAAAAACTTGATTTATTATTATTCACTAGTAAAAAAAAAAAAAAAAAAACCCGGTTTAATCACGGAAGGAAACGGATAGTTTATTGAATACATAAAATAATGAACTCGGTGGATAATAGTGGTATTCCGTATACGTACTTTTAACTGAAACATGTAATTTTTAAATATTGAATTTTACGCTGTTTCTTTGAAGTGCATAGCGGAGTCTATAAATGACTCAATGTGCACATATATGAATAGCGTACGAAAATATGAAAATAAAATTGTTGTAGATTTGCTGGAAACGAATATAAATCCGAAGTGGTGTTATAAGAAGTGTGAATCGAGTGTGTTGCTGCAGTAAAAAGTTATCATCAAACAGTATTTTCACATACGAGTTGTGCTATAGTGTATTTATTGAGTTGTTGGCGTGAGGCGTACATTATGTTACTATTATATATTATATATACATATTAATAATTGGTGTTGAGTATAAAATAAAATCGTAATGAAACTCGATTATATTATTACATTTAAGTAAAAATAAGTAAGAGCTCTAAGCAGTTTTGTGTATGTGCAACCGATGGAACATCAGAAGGATGCACACATTGGCGGATTTAAGGGGGGGGGGTTTCTCTGAAGGGATATACGTCAATTCATCGCGCGTTAATCCAATGCAAATATATATATATATTAATATATACTATTTAAATCCAACATTTTCCTTCCCATTTTAACAATGTAATAAGATGTAAGCTGATAGTAAAGCATTTTAATATTGTACTGCGTGAATAGTACAAAATTGATAAAATAAAGATGTGCCATCACAAAACCAATTGTTACAATTTAAAAATATATATCTAATATAGACGTGATAAATTGACGTCATGACGAGTTGACATCGCGATAAATTGACCACGATGAATTGAGGTGCTACCGCTCTGAAACACCCACCGTCCCGCATATTAAACTTTTTTTTTTTTACTATAAATGACTCAGATATCTGTTATCACGTACGTGTGCATAGAACTACCAAAAGTATTAATTATGGGTTACCAACTGCTAACAAATAGGTTATATTGGTTTTTATCATAATAAGTACTGGTACATAAGCTTTATTATCAAAATAGTAACCATTAGTACCCACCATAGAAAAATCCTAGATCCTCCACTGAGTGCACACAATGCTATAGAGACAGATCTATGACACCTACAAGTTACAATAACTTCCCCATTTTAGGCATTTTACCGTTATTGTGCTTTTATTTTATGTAATTTTTAATTTTATAAATGATACCGATAGCAGTTTTAATTTCATATTTTGGATCAGAGATTTTACTTTTATAGTAATGTATATAGATACAAAATGAATGAAGACGGTTATAAAGTTGAATCGCTCTATATGTTATTATCTATACACCTACAGTTCAATGATTTTTCAGTGCATGGGTAAGGAATGTGTGGGCACAACCGTCATATAATGTCACTATTGTAATATGCGTCAAGGAGAGAATCATATAATATACATAACATTATTAGGTATATTTTATAATAATAAAAATTTACCCATTCCGTTTGTTTTTTTTTTTTTCAGAAAATCGGAGGGAAAAGTCGTCGAAAAAATCATCTTCGGCTGTAAACGCGGGGTCAGTGCAACACACTCCACCACCGCCACAACAGTACAACGCGAGCCACCACCAAAGGGCAGAATTGTCACCGAGATCACGAAGACAGCAAATAGGTCCGAATAACATATTTTTATATTATAGTATTATTAATGGGGTTCTAAAAAATTATCAAAAAAATTTCACAATAATTCAATTAAAAAATTTACAAAAAATCAACTAAATACTTAATATATTCAAAGAAGTCTAATCATTCTATCCAAAAAATTAGAAATGGTTAATTGCCAATTGTTATTATATTGATGAATAACATCATCTCAATTCTCGGGGATATGTAGGTAATTCATTCTAAACAGTCAAAAATATAAAACTAAGATTATTTTAATTTATGTTAAATAATTATATCAACTTTTTATACGAGGAGGTAAATTGTAAGAATCATGGCATTAAACTAAACAAAAGTTTTTGAGAAAATATTTGTAATTAACTTGAATAAAAAAATCAAAAAATCTATAAATACGTTACATTATAATACACATAATATATAATATTTTATATAATTTTACAAAAGTGAAATGAAAAACGAAATCGCAGTTCCATGTATATGTTTCAAGCACCTGATAAAAGTTAAGACATAGACAACAGACATATATATATAATTACATACACGGTTATTGTAATAATATTGTTCAAATAAAATGGCTCGATATTCTCGAATTTCACTTTTCAGACCGATCCCAAGCGTGTTCCACACGGCGAATATATATAATTACGTCGGTGAGCTGAAGAAAACGGGGATATTAATTATAGCATGGGGTTAGAATGTCTGTCTGTTGGTTTTTTTTTTCCAAAAATCTCGAAAATTGTGCTCGTGATAGTTATTATACAAAGAACACGAAGCGTACTTTGTAGATATATTATTATATACTTACCAAGAAAACGCCACCGCGACGAGTTTAATTGGCGGTGACAACGACAGCGCGGTGGTAGTATCATATAACATACATAATACATATTGTATAATATTATGTAGTATGTATAATTAATGTTTGTTTAAAATTAAATTAATAGTGTTTAACTAGTGGCGGCGGTGCTATAAGGTTAAGTTACACCGAATAGCACACGTTAAAACATCTCGAGTGTAAAACAATATTCCGGCCTAGTGACTTCTCACTAATGAAAAATAACATAATGTTATTTTAAATACAATTAAATATAATACTTCTTTATTTAGACATATCATATCATATCGATAATATCAATAAATATTTTTCATATCATGTATATACTATATTCCAAATAAGTCTGGAAAAAATCCCGACGGAAACGCGTCGAGGTTCGCGCATGTGCAGTCTCATTGGCTGCAGTCAGTGTGGCTGACTACTGCGACCCAATCACAGCGGTTCTACCATTCAGAAGCTGCGCAGTTTTTCCAGGCTTATTTGGAATAGAGTATAGTTTACTCGTTAAATCACATATTGTTTAAGTAACAAATGCAAATCCAAAACGTCATACAAAACAATTCTAATGGCTGGTGGGTGGGATAATTTTTTTTTAATATAGATAATAGCATTAGGTACCTACCAACAAATTATTAAAGAAGATAATGATATTGGTACATGTTGGTAAATTTAAATATTATTATAATTCCAATAAATTGGTGAATCTTGTGAGCTGAGTGGTGGTTTCAGGATCTGGTGCTTTAGTTCACATAGATTATGATGAATATTGAGCTCGTCTTTGGTCGTTGAATCTTGTAGCTTCCGTGAATAATAGTATTTATCTGAAACAGGAAGGGCACAAGGTGCGCATAATGGTAGTTCTTGTGTAGTCTCGAGGTGCTCAAGTAAGAATAGCTGATTCGGAGTCTATTAATAATTATTTGGGTATGCCTAGGAAGAGTTCAATTGTGATTCTAAGGCGAATTACCTAATTTTTCTTAATATATTAATTGTGTATGGTCACAGATTTTTTAAGTAAACATAGGTTAGTTTTTTTTTATATCAGAGTGAGGTGTGAATGTGTTATGTTGTATATTTAGATAGAGATTAGATGTTATTAGGAACAATCCAATTGTTAACTCAATATTATTTCACTTTGATGTTTTCATGTTTTGAACTTTGCATAACTTTTATAATAGGACTCAAAAACACACTTCAAATATTATTTTAAATAAAAACAAATGCCTTATATTTTGTTTTTTTTTTTACATTTACTGTTGAATCAATGTTAAATGAAATTCTCTACCCGTCTCGTTGTACAATAAGTAAGTTATTTCACATCAATCCGGATTTAATAATATATATTTTCTATTCGTTTTTCTCTTTGACGTGCGTACAATATATAAATATATATTATGTTCAAAATACAATTATATGACTTCAATATGGCCTAGCACAAACAGCTGACCCATTACAGTATCGAGGACGCTTATAAATTGAATGGTTTAAAATTATATGGCAATAAAACTGTTTAATAAAAATGACATCGTTTATGATCGTAGTGCTTGGAAAAAAAATAGATAATATTAGTTATTTGTTGAAAAATATAGTCATTGTAAAAATTCAATCCCACCAAATATTGAAAACTCAATTTAGCTTTTATGACAGGTCGTATTATAGTGACAATATTAATGTTTAAGTTTACGACTAGTCGTTATATCAAAACTATATTTATAGTCTCGGTATCATGTATTAATATAAATCATCATAATAATATAATATGTATTATATAATAATAAATAAGTATGTGAAATAAACAAATTCGCTGTGGCGATTGATTCATATTGTGTGCTAGTCTTATTGTCTATTGTTTCGATTCTATTACCTATCGACACGAATAAAAGCGCAAGTAACAAGTGAACATCGAAAATACTGCATGTATATTATGATAATATATTGTATAAAGCTAATTAGCATTAATGTTTTTGTCGGAGGGTTGCGTGTTCGTAAACGCACGCATTGCAGCATTCGAAACGAAGGAGTTTAGATGATTTTATTTCAAACCACAGAACTGCAACAAAGTTTTGTGAAACCCACCGGAATACAATTGTTTATTAATTTTTTTATACACATGTATAATATTATATGCTATTATTCTATAATATATTATTATAATACGCGAGATTCCTGACTAGGTACGAAGTACCTCGTAACTACCTGTTTCACCTATAGTACCTAAGTGCATAATAACGCACACATTTTTTGGATTCATAATTGGTTTCAAAAGACACAAAATATCAAAATTATGCAGTCATGTGAAATGATATACAAATAATATTATATTAACGAATTCCGTTTGAATACGTTTGAAAACCGTACCGGAGCGGTTTCAGTCTGGTCGCGACTAATTAATGAGTTTTGTTGCGAGCACGACATCAATATTACTCGAGATTATCTATGATGTTAATTGTTCTGCGGAACGTTATAAAAAAACGTGTACAATGAAAAAAATATGAGATATAATATTTTTTGGGGGTCGATCGTGTGACATCAATTATTATTATATTACCTACCCACCGCGAAAATATAATATAAAATAATTTATTATATTAGGTACAAGCTCATATAATTTATTATATTAGGTACACGCTCATATAATTTATTATATTTTATGCAATCGTATACACGTTTCTGTGCGTATTTCATAATTTTCTCACTCGTCATTGTGCCTAGAGTACCCCTGTAGGTACAAAGAAAAAATAAGATAAAAGTACTAAAGTTCACACAAACTTTGCGACGCTTTGTTTTACTTTGGCCGAGAACAAGAATAGTTTTCAACGCTCTCGCTAAATTACTGCGTTACTGGAAACAGAGAGTAATATGAACACTTATTTAACATCGCCTTGCAGGTGCACTGTGAACGTGGATTTATTCTAAGGCAATTTAAGGGCCGAACAATAGTTTATGAAGGCAGGTGCAATAATATTGTATTTTATTTCTCATGCTCATTCGGTTGTTATCACGCATTAGTATAGTATATTATTATGCCTTTTACTATATTGTTATACCTATTTATTACATTATGTTAATAATTTTATACTTGCTTTCGATGATAAAATAAAATAACATAGGTAACCACTTAAGAATAATCAAGAAATAAGAATATCTTTAACTCGTTGTATTGGTCATTATGGGATATTAATCAGTCTCGTTTGAAGAAAAATGTATTCAGGTTTATATCCGTGATAATTCGAAATCGCGTAGTACGTTGCTGCTACAACAAATATTATTGAAATATAATATAATTTAAGTACTTACTACTTATATAGTTTTTAGATTCTGAGCGGAGCGGTTGGTTTTACTATGATATGTATGTTTGGCATCACCTTTTGAAATAGTGAAAATACTTCAATCTTCAACTTTCCAATACTTTTTAAAATAATCAGTAAAAAAAAAAAATGGAATAACGGGAGTTTTCAACATAATTGATTTTCTTTTAATTAAATATCAATAAATGTAGTTTTTACGAAATATTTTTGCCCTTTTTCTGCTATTAATAGACATTTACAATTTTCTGATTTCTTTTTTACAACTTTTAGATAGTGCATAAAATTCAATAAATGGTTTTCTTCTGTTGAACTCATTAAATTAACGCATCCAAAACGTGTGCATTATTACTGTAGTATATTTTGTCCATTTGTACCTAGGTGTCTGAATTTGCTTGTTCTGATTTCTCAATCCTGCTAGAGAGATTTAAAACAAGATGTAATATATATACAATAATACAGTCAGTATTTTATTATATTGACGTTTTTATTTTAAATGAGATTTGGATGGGTCCGTTTGTAGGTAATTCGTCCAGTCGTCAACCCGTCACTGCTGATGTGAGTATATAGACAAATACATGTCTTATTAGTTTCTATAGGTATACCATATACGACGATAAAATAGAGGTAATTTCAGGGATTTTTTAGGAGACAGTGTGGATGTCCAAATTGTAATAAATTTAGATCAGACAGCTAGAATATAACCTACCTATAGGAACGATACAATTGTGCGTGTAGGAGAACCGTATGTATATATATATATATATATATATAACCACCCATGACACGAAACTGAACAGTAATCACATGGTTGAACGATAACAAAACTCAGAGACCCAGAAAACCCAAGTCTTATGGTCGGATATACAGATGCAAATAACTATAAACCTAGTCCGTATATTATATATACCTATATCCTATATGAAACAAAAAACCACAGAATAATTCTACCTCGCCGTTTTTGCAGATCTTATTATATTATACGAAACCTGCTTATAAACATTGATGCGTAAGGTACGAGTATAAAATATTATGTTATTTAATTCGTTCGATATAATTGAATAAAAGAATGTAATCAACCGAACATGATTTAATTCAAGACATGCTGCGAACAGGAATAAAAATACAATTTTCCGCTACAGAATTATTCGATTTACCGAGACACTATTTTACATTATTAAACAAATTTTAACCGTTGAAAGCAATTATTGACGATGCGAAGTACAATTCCAGCATATATATATAGGAATTATTGCGTAGGATATCTAATGAATCCAATTTAAGTGTATTGTGTCATTAACGGCTTGATGAAATTAAAAAAAAAAAATTATCCTTCTCCAACATTTACGAGCATCGTATTTGTAAATGTACATCTAATTATAGTTCGCTATCGTTGTGAATTGGAGTAGTTGGTTAAAAACAACTCTGAAATCCATATTCCGTTTTGATCAGATATTTTTTTATTATTATCGTAGTAGTGGTTTATTAGAGGAATCTCATAATCCGTTCACGTTTAAGCCTATCGATCGGATTTTGTTTTCTTCTTATATACCATCGCCACCCAGTTTAACCCTATCTGTGCTGGTCGTACACAATACCGATGTTCTCTAAACCACACCGTGGGTGGTATTAATGTTGTTCAAGTCAATTCTACATGCAGCCCGAGCATAGTAGATAATAGCAGACCAGTATCGCTAATATAACAAAAATATTGACTAGAAAAAAGTCAATAGGCAGGTATGAGAATTTCGAAATTAATATTTTACCCATTCATAACTTGCTTCAGAATGAAATCATTGAGTTTTATTTAATAGATAATATCACTAAAATATTAAAACGAATTTAGCTATACGATAACTTCTGAATATAAATTGGCTCTATGTTAAGCACTTAAGTGACGGATACCACACGTTTTGGTCAGTGGACTTTTTGATGACGAGATTGGTAAATAATATGATATATAAGATATAACGAAATCGATTATCATTTCAAAAGTCGTCGGCGGTACCTAATCTATACTTACGCGCACTTTTACCTCCGAATGTATGTATATAGGTATATTTTATTATGATATATCATACTCGCAGGACCTGTTTATAATAAAACACTCCAATATTTATAATACATTTATGACAAGTCCTTATACCATTTTTGTCTACCTTGCAGGTGGCAGCGGAGGAAAACCGGTGTACCGTTTGACGTCCGAGGCCAAACACGTCTTGTGCGAATGCGCAGAGTATCAACTGGCCAACTCACCGACACACGACCACGTGGCTGCGCACATCCTCAGACAACTGGGCGATCGTCCGGACTTGCCAACGACGGCTGCGAAACACGACGAATACGCGTACGACGACGGTATCGGCGATGGGGAAAACAACGAGGACTGTTACCAGTGGTAAGCATTAAGCACAATATAAATAATATATCAAATGGGGGGGGGAAATGCATACTTACGACATTTACACTGGGAAATAGGCGAATCAAATCAATAGGCATCCAAAAATATACAGCACGTGTTCCGCAGACAACTTATCAATCTGGAAATTGACACGAAAAAACGATATTTTTTCCGTTCAGTTATTCCATTGGCAATATAATATGCAGGCAAATTCTCATTTGATGATACGATTTCGTAAAAACACAGATCGAAAAATATTTATGAGCCACTCAAATATTTTAAAGTGACACTCGTAGTGACGAGCTTATATTATATTTAAATCATATTGTTGGTTACGCAAAATGTTTATTTTATACGTTTATAAAAATATACATTTGCATACAATATCGGACCTCATATAATTTGCGGCGGTTAAAACGATAAAAAAGACATTTTGTATAACATAAAAAAAAAATATATCGTGGACATCTCAACCACTCCAAAATATTTTTTGACAACTTCAACTTAGTTATGTTGAGTTGGAACTCCCTGAGACGATTTTAATTTGTAATTATGAAATGATATTAAAGCGTAATATTATATTGATGAATGTAATAATATATTATCAAGACGAAAGAAACAATTTACGAGCCGCGATGCGTGTGCTGGGATTGCGTATGGTTCCGACGGCTTGGTAGCTGACATTAACAAATAACAATAAAGCAAGTTTATAATATTGTTTATGAACAGTGAAAAAAAAAATGATGGATTAATGTACTGTAACGATATAATATAATATTATGTCGGTGTGTTTTTCCAAGGCATTTTTTAATATTTCAAGTTTTTAAAAGCATATAAATATTTTCTTCGAAAATAATTGTTTCGTGTACGGATTAAAACACCAACCAAAGAACTTTAGATACAGTTGCACGAAAATGTTGTGCTCAATAGCAAAGTCGCTTTTTAATGTCGGATTTTATTTAGGTACCTACCTACATTTCTCTATTTTTTTTAAATTTCGTTGAAATGATGATCCATGTCAAAATTATTAAAAACGGGTGCGTGGTGTTGATATAAGTATAGTATTCATTAGTTAAATATCTATCATAAACTTCCAATGAACATAATATTATGTTTAGAAACGATAATATGTTAGAAAACCAACCGACGTGTTCCGACTACCTACCTTCGATGACTTAATGGTCCAAACTTAATGCCTACCAGCCAACGTGGCAGTAAAAATAGCCTAAGGCATTCCACGCACGCATGTACCTATATTGCCTATGCGACGAGCCGTCTTACGAAACGTTCAAAGTATATTAATATTATATAAAAATAATAATAATAATATTATCATTGTTGAGTGTATTATTATACTATTATTGTGCAATATAGTATACCTAATCAATGATCATTATGTTAATTCAATCGCTGCAGTAGACACTGTCGCGTGTTGTATTATATCCAGACGATATACTATTGTAATATTGTGAATATTATGATATTACTATTATGTTTACGGCGACAAACGCTTTTACTCGCATCGGCTGCATTGTGCAAGACTGTTAAACGTATCATAAAACGGTGTAAAGTTTTACGGTAATGAATTTTTAAACATGACGCTGCGTCGCGCTGTACATTTGCAGTAGTCAGATGACCGTATAGCGTTTAATGACGCGAAAAGCAATTGTCCGGATCGTGGACTTTTATATAGATATAAATTTAAAGGAAAAATAGTGTTGCGCGTAATTTCGTATTCGAGATAAAAAAATATATATATATACAAATACCTGTGTAACGAAAAAAATGTCTCAGCCGGATTGAGTTTGGTCGTACAAAAAAAAAAAAAACCCGGACAAAAATCGTTTTCACGAAAATAAAAATATCACTATTGCAACGTCGGTCGTCTCGTGTTTGACAATATTCCCGAAAACCCTTTCAATAGCGAACGTTCGAGAAAACTTTTCGTTCATTATCTTGTACAAACCGTCTTTCCATATACTGCGCTGGGTGGGCAGACATATTTCTGGTGGTCTTTTGTGCGCGGACAGGCCTAATAGGCTTATTATTGTTGTGGTCGACGGTGGCGGTTACGCCAAAATGAATTGTTCGCGAAATCGCCGGTCGTTTCTGTAGTAATGACTCAAACACGCGTATTTCGGTGAACGTTTGTATTCATTACGGTCGTGCCCACCATGAATCATAACACATAAAGTCCATCCACACACACTTACACATATTATGCATACGTAATGATTCACCTACAGCATGTTCACACCACATATTTTTTTATACCGTTTTTAGAATTTTTAAGCAGATCATTCAAGATCATATTATTTTCAAATACTTAGGTTTTGTATGCCATTTAATGAGTGTCCTTTGGTGATAGAAACGTCTATTTTTCCGAATAACCACCTTTTTTTTTCTGAGCGTTGTCAAGTAGAATATACGTTTCTTGAGAACAATATATTTTTATGAAGGTCCCCATTTCAAAATCTAAACGATTAGTTTTCAAGTTATTAAACGGTATGTGTTTCACTACTGCCGTCAATTTTAACTCAAAAGGCTTTAAGTTTTGAAAAAATTAAAGTTAGTTAGCGTGTAGTAGTTTGTAATCGACAGAAAATAATTGTCTATAGATCGTACTCAACACTTTGTAAAAATGATATTATTGTGAATTATAATTGAAAACTTGAAAATATGAATTTTTTTCAAATCTTAATTAAAATGAAAAATGAAAAAAGTTTTATTCTATCTATAGTCATTTTTCTGCTGAATTCAAAAAAAATTTCAGAATCGAAATCAGACAACGTTAACTTACTTTACTTTAAACAATAAGTAAATTTTGTAAAATTCGTATACTGAATATTATTATTGATTTATTGACATGTGCACTCGCATTTGAGAGTGGTACCCGCAATGAATTTCACTCACATTAATAATCATTTACTTACATACACAATACACATACTACTTTCAACTAAATAACACATAAATCCTAGGACTAGATTATAAATTGCCTAAATGTTGCCCTTTAAATAATAGCCGTAGTGAGGTTTAAAAGAATGGAGGCTAAAATAATTTGAAAATTATAACTAGGTATTATATGATTTATAAAAATTGTCCGAGTACAATTATAACTTATAAGTACAAGAATAAATATCACATCTATTTTATATTTTTTGATAAACCATTATTTATTTATTGATAGAACGATCCCAATGGTAGTCCAATGGTTAAAATTACAAATATCAGGGTCAAAAATAAACTTAAGTAATATGTATTAGGTACTATTATCAATTTTTTTCATTTATTTATTAGAGCCTCAATTACTAAGGTTAGTGGCTTAAGAGTAATAAATATTCTAATAAAAACAATACTAGGATGCAAGTATTAAGCTATGACCTGCTCTTGGTCTTTTTGATATGGGCTCAACTTACCTATTAAATTGAATCTGGGAAGCAAGTTGTAGGTAATAGGTATGCACCGTTTCAGATAAGTAAGAACTATCGCGTAATAATCTTGTGGCGTTGGCAAGTGATCTATTTTTAATATACACTCAGCAAATGAGTAATAACAAGAATTTACGCTGTCGTACTTGCTCTAAAATATAACTACAGATGTTTGTTAATGGACAATGGTATATGGATGCCACAAAACAGGTGCGCGTATTATTCCAAAACGATGCATTATCAAGAACAATATTATTCTCGGTGCAAAAAGTTTAATAACTGAAAAACTATTCGTTCGTATTTCAATATAGACTCATCAACATTTTTAAAAATATGTATATTATATATATACATGATAATTCACAAGAAAAAAGGGTTGTTCTCATTTAAAAAAAAAAAAAAACAGAAGTTTATATCGCCACGGGACACTCATTTAATGGTTTACAGCATACACAACGTCTAAGCATTCGAGATAATATATAGTCTCATAAATAGGTATACTTAAGAATTCCTAAAATCTGAATGTGAATTAATCTATTGCACAACACTATTACACGATGGAAAGAGGTGAGCAGACTTGGTGAATCCAGTTGCACTTTACTCGTCCACATTTTAATATTATAATATATAATAATAATACGTGGGTTTTAGTCGTAGCCCGACTGGCACGGTTGCAGTGTGTGGTCTTTCGCTGTATAAAAAGGTACCTATGAGAGGGAACGTGTATAAAAATAGCGTAGGTACGTGACAAATAAAAATTAATCGAAAACTATATTGTATGCGAGCGCATAGGAGAAGCTGAACCAAAACGAGTGATTTGGGGATGTTTTATTACGGGCAAATGTAAATGACGAGGGGGAAGCACATAAAAAATAAGACAGCCGGGGCTTTTGCGCTTGAACGGTTCGCGTACAATGATTTCGTCGAGTGTTTCCGCCATAAAAAAAAAAAAAATGTGCATATATACACACACGTATAATATACACGCGCATTACGGTTTGCGACTGCAAAGTAAACTCTGTTCGAATATAAATTTCAAAATCCCAATCTCCGAATCGCGTTCGATTCGCGGATGGAAAACATTGCGACGCGTTGCTCAAACAACCGTCATAGCTTACGCATTTATTCCGAACAAATAACATAATGCAAACGCCGATATACACATACAGACCGTTTGTCCCCATCAATAACTTCTTTTTCTAATCAATATTAAAGAAAAATAAAACGAGATTACTGTGCAGGGGCGTCATTTACAGGATGTCGTGGACGTCACTTATCGTGGGTGTGTGCGCGCATTTGAATTCCATGGATGCTGTTTGTATTTTTATATTTGTCGTTGAAATTCGTAGACACTTGTTGTCTGTTGAACAGAAATAATAACATTTTTATGGTTCCTCACATTTTTTATGATAAAAGTGCAAACATTTTTATTCTGAGAAGAGCTATATAGATATAGTGGATTTACGACGATGTGTCCGTCATCACGTTTTGGAATTGGAGTTGAATATTAATTGCTCTAATCGTCAGCATTAAGAGTAACTTCGGGTAACATTTTTGATTTAGTATGATT